CTCTGTTGAGAATATAGTTTGTATAGTTTCTCTTGCTATTGATGTCCAATATAAGACACAAGAAACTATTTCAACTTTCTTATAGTCTTTCTTAAAGAGTCTTTACTTAAGACTTGTTTTAATGGTTTAAAATGTAATCTGTTCTGGAGAAAGTTCCATGAGCTGACGAGAAGCATGTGTATTCTGCAGCTGTTGGATGGGATATTCTGTAGATGTCTGCTAAATCCATTTGCTCTATGCCGCAGTTTAACTCTAAGGCATCTATTGATTTTTTGGTCTGTATCATCTATTTGTTAAGGAGAGTGGGTTATTAAAGTCACACACTATTGTTATATCAGGACCTATCTGTCTCTTTATTGTCCATTAATGTGTTTTATGAAATTGGGTGCACCAATATTTGGTGCATATAAATTTATAATCACTCTATCTTTTTGATGGATGTTTTCCATTTAATAATATATAGTGACCTTTATCTCTTTTGACTAATTGTAGCTTTCAGTGTACTTTGTTAGATATTAGAATAGATTCCTGCTTGCTTTTGGTTTCTACTTTTTTGGCATATCATTTTCCATCCTTCTACTTTCAGCTTGTGTATGTCATTGGCAGTGAAGTATGTTTCTCAAAGACAACAAATATTGGATCTTGTTTTGTTTTGTTTTTTTCAAAAGTCAATCTGCATCTTTTAAGTAGAGAGTTGATCATTTACATTTAGGGTTATTATTTAGAGGTGTTTGGTGATTCTTACAATTTTGTTGATTCTTTTCCTGGTTGATTCGTGCACTGTTTGGTCCTCTTGGGAGTTTTCTGCTTCACTGAGTATGATTGATTTATTTCTTATTTATTTATTCTCATCCTGAAACTTATTCTTTCCTGTTTCTCGTATTTGTGACTTTTTCTGTCTTGTATGTAGGATTCATTTAAGCATTTTTTTGCAATGCTGGCTCAGTGGTTATGAATTGCTTTAGTTTGTGCTTATCTGGAAGATCTTTATTTCTCTGATTTAAAAGGATAACTGCTGAATATGCTAATCTTGGTTGTTAGTTATATGCTTTCAGAACCTGTAATGTATCATTCCACACTTTCCTGGCTTTTAGGGTTGGTTTCTGGAGAGCAGTCCGATGTAATTTTGATTGATTTGCCTTTGTAAGTAATTTGGCATTTTTCTTTTACAACTTTCCACATTCTTGTTTTGTAGCCTTAGTATTTTTATTATAGTGTGACATGAAGAGGTTCTTTTCTGGTTATGTTTATTTGGGGCTCTATATGCTGCCTGTTTTTGGATATTCACATTTTTCCCTAGATTTGGGAAATTTTTCTGCTATAATTTCATTAAGTTTTCTATGCCTTTAGTTTGTATCTTAGGTCCTTCTTCTGTCCTGTGGATTCCTGTTTGTGTTCTTGATTATGTCCCAGCATTCTTGAAAGTTGTTGTCAAGCTTATTTATTTCTGTGGTACTGGGGTTTGAACTCAGGGCCTCATGCTTACTAAGTAGGTATTCTACCATGTGAGCCACTCTGACTTTATTGAGTATTTTCTAGATAGGGTCTCAAGAACTATTTGCCTGGGCTGGCTTCAAACCATGATCTTCCTGATCTCTGCCTCCAAGTAGCTAGGATAACAGGCATGAATCACTGGTGGCTGGCTATTTATTCTTCATTGTTGTTTAAATGTAATATTTCCTTGACTTTGTCTTTAATCCTTAATGTTCTTTTCCTGCTTGGTCTAAGCTTTCCAGTTTCCCTCCCCCCTCCCCAGTACTGGTGTTTGAACTCAGGGCCTACACCTTGACCACTCCACCAGCCCTTTTTTGTGATGGGTTTTCCTTTTTTTTTTTGAGATAGGGTCTTGTGAACTATTTGCTTGGACTGGCTTCAAATCATGATCCTCCTGATCTCTGCCTCCTGTGTAGCTAGGATTACAGGCGTGAGTCACTGGTGCCTGGCAAGTTTTTAATTTTAAATATTTTCCCCTGTAGAATCTCACTATTCTTTCTGAACTATTCATATACATGTTGCTTACTTGTACAGGTTTTGAATTGACTTCCTTACTTTATTCAGCTGTTTGAATCCTCTTTGAGGTCTTTTTTTTTTTTGGTGAGACCATGGTTTGAACTCAGGGCTTCACACTCTACTGCTTCAGACATGCCTCCAGTCCATTTTTCTCTGGTTATTTTTAGAGATGGGCTCTTGAGGAATACTTTTCTTGGCTGGCCTGGAGTGGTGATCCTCCTATCTCAGCCTCCCAACTAGTGATGATTATACGTGTTATCCACTGGTGCCTGACTCTTCATTGTTCATTTTTAAAAGTATACTTTTAAATTCTTTGTTATTGCAGACATTTCAATATTTTGGATTTAGTTATTGAGGAATTATGAGCTTTTGAAGGCATCACATTGCTCGTCTTTTCATATTTCTTATTTCTAGGTTGCCATTTGCATTATCTATTGTGATAGATATCTCTTCCAATTTTATTCAGTTGGCTTCTTAGTGAGCAATCTCCTCTTGAGGACTCAATCCCCAGTACCACTTAGAGAGAAGAAAACAAAACACCATAACAGCAACAACTGTATTCACTTTAGAAGCTTCCTTTGTGTACTTGGAGTTGCTGCTGGCCTCAGGGATCTGAGCCTGTGGGCTGGGTAGGTTCCCATTTACTCCAGCCCTCCCCTCCTGTTTGTGTCCCCTGAGGCAAGTGTCCAAGCCTAAGGGTGTCCCCTGAATGTGCTGGAGAGTGGAGGAAGCAAAAAGAGCATTGACTTCTGCTCAATGCAGATGGAAAAATGGGAGACTCAGACACTCCTCCTGCCAATCTCAGTGCTTTCAGACCATGTCCAGCTGCTGACCACGTTGTGTTAAGGAGGCTGGGGAAATTGAGTAATCCTTAGGACTTGGGCTCAGAGCATTCTATTCTGCCTAGTAACAAACCCCATGCAAACAGGAGGTAGCTCCTGGAGGCTGAGCAACTCACTGGCCACAGGCTCAGAGCTCTTTTCCAGTGATCCTCAGGTGATGGGGGGAGGGGCACTGACTGCCACACCTTTCACTGTGAGCTCCACATTGTTTAAACTTCTCAGCAGGTTCACATCAGACCCTACCCCTGTCCATGCCCCTCTTGCATTGTCATCCCCTACCCAGACACAGTGGCCGAGTGTTCCCAGGCTTCCTGTGTTGTGCTTGCTCCTTGCTTTCAGGTTTCCAGAGTAGCTCAGTCTCAAACAATAGGTACCCTCTCAAGATGGCACCTGGCTATAGATACCCCAATATATGGGGAAAGACAAAATGTCTTTCTTCTCCAGTGCTAGCCTACTAGGAGGAGTCACTGTTACACCAAATTCCTCTACGGGGTGTAAGTCTTGTGAGAACTGGGAGCTTACCTTGTGGTTAGGTCTGCCAATATGATGTCAGGAGGTTTTTCTAGCATACCGTTTGGTTATGGTTTTAGCTTTCCCTGCCAACTGGGGAGATGGGGTTGGTGCTGTGGACTGTTGCCTACATTTCTGTATTGTCTAGTTCTCCATGCTTTTCAGCTGTCCTGTCACCTCTTTTGTGATTCCTGATTCTCCCTTTGGAATAGTCTACCCTTCATTACCCTGACTCTTCTCATTCATGGAGTCACATGAAGTAAGTGTTTAATCCACCATCTCGCCACTTCAATCCTATTGTTTTTTATCCTCATTTTTACTTTTAAAAAATTTATTCATATGTGCATACATTGTTTGGGCCATTTCTCCCCCTGCCCCCTCCTTTTAATTTTTTTTAAGTGTTAGCCTCCCAGATTCTTAAGACTTTTTATTCTGGCAACCAGTTGCACATAGTGCAGTGAGTGGCAGCTGCCTCAGTTGTACCATGTATCTTGCTTCTTGTTATTAGGGCTTCTAAAATGTTTATACAGACATTTCAATGTGAGCTTAAGATCCAGTACAGCATCAATTACAACCCTAGACTGAGTCTGATTCTAGTCCCAGGTCTGGGCAGGTAGAAAATTTTATTACTAACAGCACAGCGTACATAATCATTATATTAACTTACTGGTAAATCCAATGCCTCATTCATGAACTGTTTCTCCTGACTTCCAGGTCCACTCCTTCCCAGGGCCACCTTGTCTCTTTCTGGTGGTACCTATGCTTTTTTGATTTGTGCCTTTCCATTTCCTAGTTGAAATTCCCAATGGAGTTAGTGACTTCTGACCCACCCTGAGCAAATTCCTTCATTTGAGGGCACCTTAGGCTGCAACCTTCACCAGGTACCTGTCTGCTTGAATCCATGCATACCTTGCTCAAAGAAAGGCTATCTGCTGCTTGCAGCTGAAGCTGGAAGGAGTGGCTCAGATCTAGCAGACACCATGGTCAACTTGGCACATGCCAGAGAAGGTATACTTTTTTTTTTTAACGAGCAGGTAAGGGTGGGTGGTCTTATTAGGCTGGCTTCAAACTCCCTGGGTTCAAGGATCCTCCTACCTCAGCCTTCCAGGTAGCTGGGACTATTGGCACATGCCAGTGCACGTGGCTCAGTCTACATTTATTTTTTGGGTGGGACTAGGGTTTGAACTCAGGGTTTTGTGCTGTGCAAAGCAAGTGCTTTACTGCTTGAGCTAACCCTCTAGTCCATTTTGCTTTGGTTACTTTGGAGACTGGGCTTGCAAACTATTTGCCCAGGCTGGCCTCAAATTACCATCCTCCCAATCAGCTAGGATAACACGTATGAGCCACTGAAGCCCAGCTGAGTCTACATTTCTTGAGCACCCAATAGGCCCCAACTATGAAAGGACAGTGGTAAAGGAGTTTGCAACTCCAATTCAGAAGCCAATTAAAAACTCAAGAGACAGTGTTTAACAGAAAAAGAGTAGCCAAAAATTTAATATACATATTTAATAGAGATACTAAAATAAATATTCCATTTCTTCATTGCTGAAGCCATGAAAGAATATGCCTTTTGTAATCCAAGTAATTTTTATCATGCAAAAAGGTATTATTGTTACTATATCCATAAGTACAGACTATATTTTTAAATAAGTGTGTATAGAATTCAAAAGACCTAGGTTCAAAGAGAAAGTATTTAAATATAATTACAACTGGATTGTATGCCACTGGCACACTCATATTCACAGTTTATAAAGTAAAAAAAACTAAACTTTTAAAGTGAGCTCTGAAATAGATGCATTTTCATTAACACATTTACTAGTTAGGTCTGTTCTTCTAAGTCCAGAAGACAGAAATAAAGGAATAGTTTTTAAAGAACAAACTCAACATGTCAGCAGCAAATTTCAGTTAAACCAAAATTGGAAACTAATGTTCCTAGTAACTGAAGTACAAAGTCAGGTATCCACTTGATACTGAAAATTAGAGTACAAATTAAGAACTTCCGAGAGCATACTGTGTGGTGATTAAATATTAAAAATAGAATTCTCAAATTTAAGAACACATTTTTTTTTTATCTAGTCAATAAAATACTCAGAGGTGTCAAAGGCAAGGAACACCACCAGCTAGCTAGGATTATTCACCAGAACTGTGAAAATAGAGCCCTGATCTATGACGTGTCTTTAAATTCCTTTAGAGGGCAAGCTGAGGGAATGACATCATCATCCAACACTGGAAGCACCGGTTTCACATGTAGATTCAATGCCAAGTAACACAGTCACTGTTCTGAGTTGTTTTTTTTTTAATCTGGAGAGATGGAGAGAATTCTCAAAACAGACTTATGATTTTTAAGTAGTGGCACCATAGTATGAGCCTGTAGAGACACCAGGAAACTACCTGCCGAAGTAGGTGGGTCACACCAGTCAGTACCAGGTTTTCTGACAACATAGTGAGTTTTGAGAAAATACACTTTAGAGAAAAAAAGAGCAGTTTATTTTAAAGCAAGTAACTAAATCGCAATTTAATTCAGCTTCATAATTAACTGCAGCACAGCATATTTACTTGAAAATCTAATAAACATAAGCCAACTTTACCAAGAAAGCATTTTCCTTCAGATGCTAATTACAAAATTTTCTCAGCAATTAATAATTATTACCTGCAAGTCTGATCTTGCACCAATAATCTTGAAACATTATTGGAAAGCTTAAATTCCAGTTGGTATGATACCAAATCTAATTTAACTTCAAAATTCACAGAAATGAGTAAGTCCTGAGGTTCTAGAGATGGGGAGTGAATTCTTTCCTTGCACTCTCACCTGAGATTATGTCTGGGAGATCACTCTGTGGTGTTTGTGGTGCTGAGTTAGAGGGTTGTGGACAGACTGGTACCAATACTTCAAGCTGTTGTACTTTTACTTCAAGCTGAGACTTTAAATACATCTGTCATACGTACGTACAGTAGAGGAGGATGTGAACAGATATACATACTTTTTAACAGAAGAACAACAGTAATATATGGGAACCATTTTTTTCAAATGGATTCTATTTGGTTAATAAGGATTTTCTTTCCATCAATCTATCGAAGTCCAGACCAACTATGCAGATAGGATGCCCATCCAGAAGTACGGGAAGCATTTTCTTCTTCACCTTTGGAAGATTAAAAAAAAAAGTATTAAATTTTCTCAAGGTGAAATCTATATTCTAGAATCACTTTACAATATTAGCAAGTAGTGCTAATATCTCATTGATTATATTCCATCTAAAAGACATTAATTACTATTCTAAATTTCTTTGTTAAGAATTCAGTATTAGATTTCCTTAGTTGAGGCAACTTAATGCTACTTTTATGTTTTATATTGGAACTTTAAAACAATGATATGCAAAACAAAGACAATTATGAAAAATGATTTGTTACAAATAAACAATATTACCAATCTGTAAGCGATGCCTCAGTTACTCTGAAATACCATCTTTTCATAATATACTTTGATATTACCAATCAATGTCTGCTCTTGAGTATTCAGTATTTGTCTTTATCAGAAAATCCCAAAATAGAGTTTGCAGCACAACTATGTATTTTTGACAAGGGATACCTTATGTACATTTTTTTTTTGCAGTTCGGGGACTTGAACTCAGGGCTTACACCTTGAGCCATTCCACCAGCTGTTTTTTTTGTGATGGGTTTTTTCAAGACAGGGTTTCTTGAACTATTTACATAGGCTGCCAGGCTGGCAGCGATCCTTCTGATCTATGCCTACTGAGTAACTAGGATTATAGGCATGAGCCATTGGCACATGGCTGTACATTTTTTTAAATAGAAACCTTATGCAAATTAAATTGGAGTTTAAAACCAATAGTTATGGTAACCCTTAAAACTAAACCAAAACAAACCCCACACAGTGTTAGTAATTTAAACACTGATGTATTGAGGTACACTTTACTTACTTTGAAATTTGCCCTTCTTAGTATACAGTACCAAGTCCAGAGAAACACATGGAATTGTGTGCGGTCTTCAGCTATCACCTCAAGGTGTGTGGCAAGTTTCACCTCAAGGATCTCCTGGGCCTTCATAGTCAGTCCCACTCCCACTCCTTGGCAACCAATGGTCTGCTTTTTTGTACAAGTTTATTTATACAGAGTACACAAAGTATACATTGAACTAGGCAAAAAATGCCAAACTTTCCTAATGTGGTTGTGTCATTTTGCATTATATGAATGTTTCAGTGGCTCTTATAATTTTTATGTTGAACATAAATCCCAGCTTAAAGCTCAGAAAAATTCTGAGCGTCTAAGACAATTTCAGAACAGGTTTTTCTTATTTTTTTTTAACATGATTTATATAGAAATATATACAATCTGACATTTTTATGACCTTAAAAGAAGTGACTCTTGGTTGAACAGTAAAACTGAGGCTCAAATTTTGCACAGGAGGTACTACAGTAGGGCTAACTTATTTGGGGGAACAAAGGTGCTTGCCAGAAGTTCTATCTCAAATACAAAAGCAACACTCAACTTCTGAACTGTGGTGAGATCTAACAGGCAGGACAGGGTGAGTTCACACTGGTGGTGCAAGGAGACTGGCAGCCTACACTTCTCAGCGGTGTGAACAAGACAATACTTGTACTCCTGCACTCTAAGTTGATTTACCTTACACAGAAATTTAACCTGCTGCCCTGAGCAGTCCATAACACCTTCTTGGGGTTAAGTTGGGCCCCAAAAAGGTGATTTTTTTTCCCCCAACCCTAGTGATTGAACCTGGGACCTCATACATACGAGGTGAGTGCTCTACCACTGAACCACATGTCCAAGGCCCTTAACACGTGTTTATCATAGGGAGTTTGATGACGCTTTTCAGATAGTTGGGTAACCTACGTTCTCCCTAAGCTAAAGTTGTATAAACCTTTTAGACCCTAGTCCACAGTGAAAAAACTAAATTTTATATCAGGAGCTAATATAGTCATATAGACACCAACCCTCATGTGTATACTAAGTTTTAAGGAGCAATTCTTACCCTTACTAAAATCAATGTATCTTGATATTTATGTTATTTCTTTTATTTTAAAAAGATATTCCAGATATGACCCATCAAATTGATTTCACCATCCACTAATGGGTAACAACTTGAATGAAAAATAATGCTATAACTTTCCAGAAAATCAGATGCCATAAACACTGCTTCCAAGAAGATGAATGGAGGCAAAGGGGTACTTGTGATTTGGTCTGACGGTCCAGTGCCCTTTAGTGCCAGAAGAGTAGCTTTCCTAGCCCAAAAGACCAAAAATCTTATGTTCTCCCTCATATGTGGACATTAGATCAAGGGCAAACACAACAAGGGCATTGGACTTTGATCACATGATAAAGCGAGAGCACACAAGGAAGGTATGAGGATAGGTAAGACACCTAAAAAACTAGATAGCATTTGTTGCCCTCATCGCAAAGAAACTAAAGCAGATACTTTAAAGCAACTGAGGCCAATAGGAGAAGGGGACCAGGAACTAGAGAAAAGGTCAGTTTGAGAAGAATTAACTTAGAAGGTAACACACATGCACAGGAAATCAATGCGAGTCAACTCCCTGTATAGCTATCCCTATCTCAACTAGCAAAAACCCTTGTTCCTTCCTATTATTGCTTATACTCTCTCTTCAACAAAATTAGAGATAAGGGCAGAATAGTTTCTGCCTGGTAGCGAGGGGGAAGGGGGGGTAAGGGAGGGACTGGGGGGGCTAAATGAGGGGGTGGGGGGAGAAATGACCCAAACATTGTATGCACATATGAATAAAATAAAAATTAAAAAAAATAATTTTTCACTATTAGCAATATATATTAAAAAAAAAAAGAAGAATAGCTTTCACTCTTTTTTGGCATCCCACACATGTGCCAAGTTGGTTACTACCTTCAGGTCCTTCATAATGAAATGCTGCTGTTGTGAGCAGTCAGGTTGAAGGCCCCAGTCTGTAATATGGTACCAAGTTTGCTCAGAATGTCCTTCCTTCTTGCACCTCAGACCGTCTACCTAGAAGTTTTCCTTTCACTTAAAGTACATAGTTAAGAATTTCCCATGGAGGAAAATTTCTGTTTTCAGAGAAGATCCTGAAGAATGTTTTACAAGGTCAGTAGCTGATTAATGTAATGCTGTGTTCAGTATTATATTAACGATGCTCAGAAGTCCATTGAGAGCTTCTCATTCTTAGGAGGTGGGGCAATTGTATCTGCTTTTGAAATTTATATTTTCTACTTTTTTTGGTGGGGGGGCAGTTTTACTTTTATGTGAATAGTGGTAGCCGTTTTAAAAACTTCTATTTTAATTAAATAATTAATTAATTATAGTAGTACTGGAGATTGAACCCAGCGTCTCGTGCATGCTAAGCAAGTGCTCTACTATTTAAGCCACACTCACAGCTCTTCACTGGGTTTTGTGATCCTTTGGCTTGGTATTCAGCTATACTCTTCACATATTATCTCTGTCCTATTCTCTCTCTCCTGTCCTTTTGGAACTTTATTATTATTGTTAAACAATGATGCTGGTAATTTAAAATGTTTACTGCAAGATACACACATACAAAGATAATTGTAGCACTCACCCAACCCAGGCATGTTGGACCAGTCACAGACTACTCTTCAATTCCCTTCACCCTAAGCTGCTTCTCTCAGATTCTCTTTCTTCATCTGAAAGACTGTCAGAAGCCTGCAGGGTCAGTGCAAAGCACATTTCCAGCACAGTTCACTCCATATCTTCTCTAGGAGTCCAAGATACCCTCCCTACAAACTAACTCCTTGTTCTAAAGGATTTTCACCATGAGGAAGTTCCTTTCATTTTATAATTCTAGCCAAAAAGAGTGGGAATGGAGGAAACACAGAAGGTTCCTTTCCTGCCCAGTCCAATGGCTTCATTCCACCATCCAATGGCTTCATTCTACCTTCTTTTACCCACATTTCTGTTTTCATTTTCTCTATATTCGAGTTTACTCCCTTTCTCTTAAGCCGTATCTATATCTGCTATTAAAGCATCAGTTTTTAATTTTTATGTTTTCTTTAATTCATATATAGAGGAGAAACAATTTTTGTTCTGGGGTCTAAGGAACTCCTACATATCTTCTCTATGAAGGAGAACTATTTACAAACAGCTATGCTATGGAGACTCTTGGGTTAGTCTCTTAGACCAGTGGACCCTAAATGGACTCTAAATTTATATACAGGAGCCCCTTGGGTGGGAAGGAGTTTGAACTCACATTGGCGGGAAAAATTGAAGAAGACTGTAAACACATATAACTTCTTTGCTGTTGTTGGTTTTTTTTGAGACAGTCTCACTATATACCCCAGGCTGGTCTGCAGTCACAATTCTCCTATCTTAGCCTTTTGAGTCTTGGGATTATAAGCATGAGCCACTATGGCTGGCTTTCACACAAAATTCTTAAGTACAAGGCCAATGGTAAATTTAAATTACAAAACAGAAGTGGTGGGAGTTCTTTTTCATACCTTGAGCAACTGTGGCAAGTTTTCCCTTTTCTTCAGGGCTAAGCTGCAACATTGTGTCTATAACAGGAAGGAGCCTTTCTCTTTCACTACCTGGTTTCAGGAAAATGAACTGTAGCAAGACATTCTTCAAGTATTCCAGGTTAGCTACAGACTTCTCCCGCTCTTGATTTCTTTCCAATCTTCTTATTTCATTTTTGAGAAGCTGGTGTTAGAGAAATTATTTAAAATGGGTTTTAGAACTTCTAGTTAAACATGGTAGACTGAACACATTGCACTTTTCTTTTTCTTCTCCTGAACATAAAGGAGGGGCTAAGAAAGAATAAATAAGAGGTATCAAGAAATCTCAAAAGAGATGGGAAGGAGATAATGAAGTGGTAGCATCCTGTGCAAATACTGAGAAATGCCTGCCTCAGAAGCACAGGGTATCATAGAAATGGGGGTTGAAAGCTGGGGACTGAGGGAAATTCTACTAAATGAACAACTGGGGCCATAAGCTGGTACCATGATGCTCCTTCCATCTTTTACTTTCTGTACAACATGTGCTGAGGGGGGGGTGAGTGAGTCTGAAAGTAGGTGCTGGGGTAAATGTCCAGTCTCCATGAAACTCCTGCCCCTCCCATGCTTATAGAGCCCAAACAGTTCCCATGTTTGCCACGAACAGCTCTTTTCCAAAACAGAAGTAGAGTTCAGGACATAGTGAATGTTAAGGAGCATAAGGAAATATAAAATACTATCAGAAAAACGGGGGAAAAGATGGCATGAAAAAGGTAGTAGGAAGTTGAAATTGTTGGGGATGATTTCCAGTTTTAAACAAAATTAGTCAACTCTGTCCTAAAATTCATGATCATTTAAAATAGTGACACTGAGAAATCTTGTGATTATAAAATCTGTGGAAATATAACATTTAAATAAGTCACTTAGGTTTAAAGTACTTAGTGGTGGGATACCATCATATACATATATGTATGTGTGTGTATGAATAAATACATAAATATATATACACACACAAATCTACTTAGCGGTGGGGTGCCATTACATATGCATGTACGTATATACATCTATATGTATATACACTACCCATAGATACATACATAATTTACTATAAATAAGTAAGTAATTCAATCTAAAAAAATCTCAAAAGGATAATAGCTAGTGGTTCTGCATGAGACAGCACAGAGCAAAGTGCAGATATGGAAGCATGTGAATTTCAGACAGACATGAGTCTGAATTTTGCCCTACCATTTACCAGCTTCATATTTTCTCTCCTCCAGTGATTATAAGGATTAAATAATATTAATATATATGTAAAGTCAGGGACCTAAGTCATTAAAATTGCTCAGTAAGTTTTATTCTTAGGGGTAATTTATCACTGAGCCAGGATGGAAATAAAATATCTCACATGAGTAACTTTCAACTATTCTACACCATTCCTAGATGTTTCCCGTGTTGACTTTAAAAAGGAAAATCTTCCTAAGCCACTTCACCATCTCCACTTACAAATTCAGCTAAATAGGTCAGTGCCATAAACATCATCCCAGTGATCTGAATTAGAAGTACTCCACTGTTTATCTTTAGAATTTGAGAACCCATACGTAGGTGGAATAATAATACTTTCCTACACAATACTTGTAAACATCACTCCAGTTTCCTAATTTACTATGGCTTCTTAGAAAAAAATAGGAATTAAGACTGCATACAATAGATATAAAAGCAGTATTTCTTATCATGAGGAATTTAATATAAAGAATCAAGATATTATGAATACATCTGAAATGTGGATGTTAAAATTTGGGGATGCATGTGCAAAGGGTCAGAAAAACCAAACTGGCACAGGGTATTTTCATGGTGGCCACTCTGTTGATCTCACCTTAATTTGCTCCATAAGGATGGCATTGGTTGCTTCTGTTTCCCGAAGCAGGCTGTTTAAGTGATCTGCACTTTTTGTGGTAGAACTGAGCTTCTGAGCTAATTCTTCTTTGGTAAATTCAGCATGCCACAAAGGAGGTTCTGCAAGATGTTCTAAGATTTAATTTTCAAAATCAGAGATTATAGTTCTAAATAAGAGAAACACTGAATATCTTACATTGTAATACTATATTTTACTGATCACTCAATATAAGGGATTCTATCGACTGTCATAAAAATCTCTCATGAGGTAAGATAGGTATCATTATTCAAGTTTTTACAGAGCCAACAAGCAATTTTGGCAAAAATCACAGTCAAGTCTCATTGTGGAGTCTGCTGCCACTCTACCTTGATGTCCGGATGATCCTAAAACTTCAGAAAAATGAGATTTCCCCCTAAATTTATGAACAGTAATATTAATTGCAACTAAGAACAAAATATACCAAAACTTTACTATATTTATTATAGCAAATTTAGCATTACTTCATCTAAGGAATAAACTAAAATAGTTTCTTGGAAGAATGAGAGAATAGTTTATCTAGTTTCTAACACTACTACAGGACTTCCAATTATCCATTTCTGACTCAAGCCTAGGGTAGTGCTAGAATTTTATTTTAAAACAGATTTGTTTCACATTGAAGAAAAGTTTTCTATTTGAACAGGTGGTAGAATACTGAAAATGGTTAAAAAATAGTTATTAAAAATAATACTAATTACTCTATTAATTAGAGTAATATTAATTAAACAAGACAGCCAAATTAATTAAGAAAAACATTTACACATAGTAATGTACCAAGTTTGGTCTCCGGAGAATTAAGAAGCTGCTCTAAAGATTGAGTGTATGTGCCGGTGGAAGATACAGATTCTGTGTCAGTTGTCTCCATCCCTTCTCCCTCTTCCCGAGTTGCAGTGTGCACGTCTAAAAGGGGGAGGTCTGTGTTTCTCCTTTCTCGAAGGTTCTTCAGAGGTTGGTGGGACGAAGCTGGACCTATTCAACATTTTTTTAAAGAGTATATGTGAAGTTGTTCAAAATTGATGGATTCATCCTTAACAGAAATACTCAATGTAATTAAAATGAACCTGGGGATGTCAAATTATAAGGAAATTACATAACCAAGAGAAAAGTGAATGGTATAAGGAAGAATTGTTAAACAGCTCAAAACATTCAGTCACTGAAATTTTAACCACTCTAGATATTTCAATAGAAGTTATACATTAATTCTTACTAGCTAGTTAAAATAGATAGCTGGGTAACACAAAGCTAATAATTGTACCATTTAAAAAACTAAATCTATTGTAGAGGGCTATACTGTTACTAAGTACTGGTAGAAATTCTAAAGCTAGATTCTAGCTAATTCTGTGGAGTAGGTATTTCCTGCTGCTGCATACTTTCTGACACAATACAGGTGCTACAGTCTGCTTGGCAGACTGTCTTGATCACTGCCCTCATACCTTCCCCTCTGCTGGTTCCTAAAACTGCCCACAGACATCTACAGTGTTCAGGTAACAGAGTACTGAGTTCATTGCAGGGAACCAAATGATTACAGTTACTGGGCAAGACTTTCTTCTACTGATAATGAACACTTGAACAGAACTGTAAAATTTATAAGACACTTCCAAATATATTACTTTACTGATTCCACAAAATCTGAAGCTCAGAGAAACTTAATGACTCTGTCTAAGGTCTCATAGCTGAGTTAGGGACCAGAATTCTAATAGTTCTTTTAAACTTGAAATTTCATTTACTTTCCATCCCATAAGGTTGCCTCTACTTCTTCCTCAGTTAGCCTGCCATTTCTGTACCATTTTCCTGGGTTTCAGATATTTTATGAACTGCTTACTCCACTGCTGATTCCTAGATTATAATGTCTTGTGCAACCTGCTTTTTCCTGGCTGGTTGCTTCCTTTTTTGACACTTGGTATATGTTAAATTCTCCTGAAGTTGCCTTCTGACTCTGACAGTGACTTGTAGCTGCCAATGTTCCACTGACAACATTTTACATGGGAAACCAAGCAGCATCAACTTAGGACTAAAATACAGCATCATTATAGCTGACACTTTCCCATCTCTTCCTGGAAGCAGAATGGAAGATATTGTTGTGTGGTTAAACTAAAACTTCAAATAGTTAGAATTTGAAAGGGTAGAAGGTATATAGACTAAGCAATTCTTCTAGTTTAGTGCTTCTTGAGTGTTTTTAAGCCTTTGCTCTGATGATTCTAATTAAAGAATAGTTGTATGTGAAGACCCATACCAAGTGTGAAATGGTAAATATCAGAATTAGGATACAAGTCAGAAGACTGACAAGAGTAGGTTTAAGACAGAGAAAAAGAAATACTCCTTTACTTGGAGGATGATAAATTCATGAAAATCAGTATTTTAAGAGGTTAAACAAGTTAAATGAGTACAAGTAAAATCAAGTATAATAATCAAGATAGGTTCAAAAAGGTTCACATATCTTCCCAATAAATACAAAATTCATTAATCACAGACCTGGCACTGGTTGCCACTTATAAACTATACTTTTTACAATTATAAATAAATAAATGCATAATTTGTAAATTCATAAACAAATTTATAAATAAATTATAAATCAAATATCTTCTCAGCAAACCCAGAACTTATTAGTTATAGAACTGACACTGGCTGCCACTTAATAAATGTACTCAAGGGAAAACACAACCAACCAATACTTCCACGGGTACATACATACTTCTTGTAGCTGGTTCACTCCTGAGCTGGAAGAGCTGAGCTTCCACCTTGGAGAGCTGCTGCTGTAAAGTCTCCATTGTCTTCCTGTGCTCTTCCTGCAGATGTCGCACTTGATCTCGGAAGCTGTTGCGGAGGACTTCATTCTGGGATGTTAGTTGACTCACTGTCTGGGCATGTTCTGACTTCATTATCATGTTCTCCGATTGTACCGAACACAACCTGAAGGTAAGCGGAGCTTAATTCATGTAAGAACTTCCAGCTTTATATGCTGACTCAGCTTTTCTCAACTGAGTTCTGCAATAGCAGCCCTAAACCTACTGAGCATAACAAAAAATCTCTCTTCTCTGCACCTGTGAATGTACTGGTGGTGTTACAATTTAGATGACCAGCTGTCATCTAGTTTGAACTGTTTTCTGTGTTCAGATGAGGAACCTGGATTGAGAGACTGTGCTGTATCGTTCAGACAAGGAACCATGGTTCATCAGAAAACAGAAAAGTATATTGAGAGCATAAAATAATTACATTTTAATTAGTACACTTCTTCTGGTCATCTTATGTGGGCTGCTCCCATAAATCTAAGATTAATTTGTCTTTTCTGTATTACCTTTTTTTTTTTTTTTTCATTTTTCTTTTATGATTCATATGTGCATACAAGGCTTGGTTCATTTCTCCCCCCTGCCCCCACCCCCTCCCTTACCACCCACTCCACCCCTTCCCGCTCCCCCCCCTCAATACCCAGCAGAAACTATTTTGCCCTTATCTCTAATTTTGTTGTAGAGAGAGTATAAGCAATAATAGGAAGGAACAAGGGGTTTTGCTGGTTGAGATAAGGATAGCTATACAGGGCATTGACTCACATTGATTTCCTGTGCGTGGGTGTTACCTTCTAGGTTAATTCTTTTTGATCTAACCTTTTCTCTAGTTCCTGGTCCCCTTTTCCTATTGGCCTCAGTTGCTTTAAGGTATCTGCTTTAGTTTCTCTGCATTAAGGGCAACAAATGCTAGCTAGTTTTTTAGGTGTCTTACCTATCCTCACCCTCCCTTGTGTGCTCGCTTTTATCATGTGCTCATAGTCCAATCCCCTTGTTGTGTTTGCCCTTGATCTAATGTCCACATATGAGGGAGAACATACGATTTTTGGTCTTTTGAGCCAGGCTAACCTCACTCAGAATGATGTTCTCCAATTCCATCCATTTACCAGCGAATGATAACATTTCGTTCTTCTTCATGGCTGCATAAAATTCCATGTGTATAGATACCACATTTTCTTAATCCATTCGTCAGTGGTGGGGCATCTTGGCTGTTTCCATAACTTGGCTATTGTGAATAGTGCCGCAATAAACATGGATGTGCAGGTGCCTCTGGAGTAACAGTCTTTTGGGTATATCCCCAGAGTGGTATTGCTGGATCAAATGGTAGATCGATGTCCAGCTTTTTAAGTAGCCTCCAAATTTTTTTCCAGAGTGGTTGTACTAGTCTACATTCCCACCAACAGTGTAAGAGGGTTCCTTTTTCCCCGCATCCTCGCCAACACCTGTTGTTGGTGGTGTTGCTGATGATGGCTATTCTAACAGGGGTGAGGTGGAATCTTAGTGTGGTTTTAATTTGCATTTCCTTTATTGCTAGAGATGGTGAGCATTTTTTCATGTGTTTTCTGGCCATTTGAATTTCTTCTTTTGAGAAAGTTCTGTTTAGTTCACATGCCCATTTCTTTATTGGTTCATTAGTTTTGGGAGAATTTAGTTTTTTAAGTTCCCTGTATATTCTGGTTATCAGTCCTTTGTCTGATGTATAATTGGCAAATATTTTCTCCCACTCTGTGGGTGTTCTCTTCAGTTTAGAGACCATTTCTTTTGATGAACAGAAGCTTTTTAGTTTTATGAGGTCCCATTTATCTATGCTATCTCTTAGTTGCTGTGCTGCTGGGGTTTCATTGAGAAAGTTCTTACCTATACCTACTAACTCCAGAGTATTTCCTATTCTTTCTTGTATCAACTTAAGAGTTTGGGTTCTGATATTAAGATCCTTGATCCATTTTGAGTTAATCTTGGTATAGGGTGATATATATAAAAACATGAAATAGACCACTTTTCATAAAGAAAGTCTTCATTTTTGAGTAACTTATCATGAAACACTTCAACATCAAGACTAGTTTACTACATTTGCTTTTAAATCTCACTGTACATTAGAACTGCTAGAGTACCCTGTTAAAAACACAGACATCTAGTTTTCATACTACAGCCACTGAATCAGAATCTTCAGTAGTCCTACTTTTAGCAGCTTTCCATGTGATTTTTTTATAGTCAGCCTGACACTAGCTATAGATCTACAATGTGGGAAATGCTACTTTTAATGGTTTACTTGTACTTTTGATGTTTTATGTTTGGTTAAAAAAACTTCCTTTTGAAATGCAAATTAAAACCACGCTAAGATTCCACCTCACCCCTGTTTAGAATAGCCATCATCCAGCAACACCACCAACAACAGGTGTTGGCGAGGATGTGGGGAAAAAGGAACCCTCTTACACCTGTTGGTGGGAATGTAACTAGTACAACCACTCTGGAAAAAAATTTGGAGGCTACTTAAAAGCTGACATTGATCTATATTGATCCAGAATTACCACTCTTGGGGATATACCAAAAGACTGTGACAAAGGTTACTCCAGAGGCACCTGCACACCCATGTTTATTGCAGCACTATTCACAATGCCAAGTTATGGAAACAGCCAAGATGCCCCACCACTGACGAATGGATTAAGAAAATGTGGTATCTATACACAATGGAATTTTATGCAGCCATGAAGAAGAACGAAATGTTATCATTTGCTGGTAAATGGATGGAATTGGAGAACATCATTCTGAGTGAGTTAGCCTGGCCAAAAGACCAAAAATCATATGTTCTCCCTCATATGTGGACATTAGATCAAGGGCAAACACAACAAGGATGGACTTTGAGCACATGATAAAAGCGAGAGCACACAGGGAGGGGTGAGGATAGGTAAGACACCTAAAAAACTAGCTAGCATTTGTTGCCCTTAATGCAGAGAAACTAAAGCAGATACCTTAAAAGCAACTGAGGGTAATAGGAAAAGGGGACCAGGAACTAGAGAAAAGGTTAGATCAAAAAGAATTAACCTCTAGGTTACCTTCTAAGGTAACACACACGCACAGGAAATTAATGTGAGTCAACTCCCTGTATAGCTATCCTTATCTCAACCAGCAAAACCCCTTGTTCCTTCCTATTATTGCTTATACTCTCTCAACAACAAAATTAGAAATAAGGACAAAATAGTTTCTGCTGGGTATTGAGGGGGTGGGGGGGAGAGGGAGGGGGCGGAGTGGGTTGTAAGGGAGGGGGTGGGGGCAGGGGGGAGAAATGACCCAAGCCTTGTATGCACATATGAATAATAAAAGAAAAAAAAATTTCCTTTTGACATGAGGGATCCACAATTATTCACTCCCACTATACATTATACATATGCACCTCACGTGAAGTTTATAACAAGATTTAGTGGTTGAAGAAAGAAAAGGCAAAAAACAGGCATTTTTTAGAAAAGGTATCTTTAATGGCCAAGTTCATATTGACTAATAAGTCTAGAGAATGTGCCAGTGTATGTAGTTTTCTACAAGCATTTTGTTAAACAATATCTACCAAGAAAGTAAAAGGAATACTGTCAGACATAGTACTCTAGAGGACTGAGCTTGCACTGGTAGAGAGCTTGCCTAGCATGTGCAAGGCCTCTGTGTTCCACCCAACCATGGGGGGGAGGGGGAAGAAAGAAAGTACATTCAAGAGTATAAAAGTGACATTTTAGAACTATTTCTTCATACTATGGCACAGACAGTAACAATACCACTAGTTTTTAGTACGTCACAAGAAGGAAGATCACTGAAGATATCTCAAAATGCTGTGAAAAGTTTTTAGAAGAGTGATCAATACATAGTAAAGTATTTACTGAACGACTGAATCACTTTAGAATCATCATTTGTATTTTCTGTTAGTAGTATAGTTTGCAATGTTTCTAGAAGATTGAGTTTCGGAAATTTCTGATGTAAACATCAAGTAAGTATCGTTATTTACAAACTAATTGTAAATCCTGGTGACAGGTAGGTAGAAAATTGGTAGGTATTTCCTGAAACTATAGGTTTTCATGATTAACATACAAATTACAATATTAAAATAAAGTAAGTCCAAGAAACCTAGATGCATTTGCTTTTTAGGTTAACATAAAATTAGACATGCATCAGAAGCACATGTGAATGTAAAGTTTCTTAACACCCTTCAAAGAAGATGTTCAAAGAACAACTCTTTTTTGTCAGTATCCTATAATGATATCACCCAATTTCCTTATTATAGGAGTCCAAAGTATATTGTTTACAGTAATCTATTTTGCCAATATTCTTAATGTTTATTTATACTACTGTAAAGATTAGTGAGGTAAGATAAGTTGAACAGAGTCGCAAGATAAGTTGCAAATTCTTTTTCAGTTAGTATTTGAATGTTTTCCTTTGAAAATGAAGAAAAAAATATGTAATCTCACACCTGGACTGAATTTTTTTTTTTTTTTTTAGTTTCTGATCATGAAAGTTAGAGGAGAGGCAGAATTATGAATGAGCACATAAAAATTGTTCTTAGAAATGTTAAATATAAAAGCTATCCAAAGAGGAACTTTAACATAGATAAAGTGAAGTTTAGAATTACTTTCAAATATGTACTTATCCCAAGAAGCAACATCTTAGAAGTGCAGGTACAAAAGGCATCAGTGCTGCTGGCAGCCTTACTTTTCCCGCAGCTCTGCCTCTTTTGTCACAGTTTCCTGCAGCATCCTGTTGTGCCTCTCTAGCAGAGTATCATGCTCAGACTGCAATGTGTGTAGTTCAGATATGCTGATCTGTAAGCTAGTTTGGCTATCTTGTAATTTGATTTTCAGTTGGTCAATCATCATTTCCAGCTGTTCCCTAAAACAGAAATGAACAGTTGTAATATACTCTTTAAAAAAGAGGTAAGCCTCGTTTTGTGCTTTCAAATATATTTCAATCATTTAATCTTTTAATGTCATACTCTGGTTATTATGGATAACTCTAAAGAAAATACAACAATTTTAAGAATTTAGAGACTAGGATTCAATATAAAAAGATGTTACAGTCAGATTTTTAAATCTCAGGCAGTATACATTTATAAAAGGTCTGAATTTAAAAATTTCATATTATAGTGAAATAGACCATTATATGGCAACGAAATAGTCTATTTTGTGTTATGGAACTCTGTCATTAGGGGAAAAAAACCTCACATACTGTTGTAAATTAATCATAATGGGATTGGGATTTTAGGCCTAGCTATAGTGAAAGATAATCCCTGAAGAAAAGCAGTTAAGTCCTTTTAGACTCAGAATAAAAGGTAGAAACAATTAAAATTCACAATTCTGTTGCAATTCATATAATACACTATTAGTTTCTTTCTTAAAAAATGTATTTAATGTACAAGAAAGTAGAAGGAACTTAAATATTTACAATTTAAATACTTTGAACCCAAAATTCAGGCATGCTTAAAAATGTCTCTTGCAAATGACAACTTTATCTTTTGATTGATACAGTTTTCTAAGTGTACCAATATCTAACTTCAGCTTTATGATGAGCTGTTAGTAGAGAAAATACCTCATCATGCTATGGTATACAGTCCCATATTTAACAGACTCCTAAACAAAAGTATACACATAAACCTACAAACACCAGAAGATCAATAGTCCTGCTTAGAACTGTAAAAGCCAGATATAAAACAGATATAAAAAGCTTTGAATATTGAACCTGTTATAAAATGAAATACACATGCCATAGAATGCTCGGTCTCTTGTTCCCAGTATATTTCTGAGTAATTTACAAAAGGGATCTGGATGGCAGTTTTAAAGCAGCATTAAGCACTATTCAAATAGAATATGAGATGGTCATAAATTTAAGAAAAATTCATTTTAAACTTTTTGAAATAAGTAAGATATTTTAAAGCAACTTCTGTTTAACCTAATTGGTGGTAAATAAGTACTTTGAAAGAGCAATTTTTTTTTCCTAAATTTCAAAAGTGGAAAAATCATAATGAGATTTTAATGCCTACATTTCTACTATGAACAGATCATATTAAGACAAGATTGAGCTTTTAGTCTACATCTCAGAGACCACATTAAGGCTTCACTATTCACTTTACATCCTTCTGGGTTTGCAATAATGCCCTTGGTGGTAAAGTTTCCAGAGACAGTGAAGCCAAGAAACTCTGTGCTCACTATAATTACACCTAAAATTGCCCAGTCAAAAGAAATCAAAATAGGATTTTGAATCTACTTGGTGAATCTGCATTGCATGGGGAAAACCCTGTATATTTTTTTTTACTTAGACTTTACCTTTCTTGTTTAGCTCCCTCAGTTTCAGCCTGGGACACAGATTTATTTTTCTGTTGTTTCAGAACGTTATGAACTCGGACTTTGTAGCTCTCAAATTCAGAGGTTATAGCAGCTTGTTCTGCCTATAACATTTAAAAGAGAGAGAAACATTTTCTATTGTAACATGATCCTCCTATTTTCTTTTAGAGGTTAACAAACTGAGGTAAAAACTCTGTTTTTGAAAATGAAGAAAATAGCTGACATTCATTTTAGTCCCAACTTACTTCACTAAAAAGTACAATTCTGTTGGTCTTATACTTATTAAAAAATGACTTTGATATAATTTTGTCTGACAAAATGTTTCTACCATGCTTTCTTTCCTGGTAGACTAATTTACTACTCATTAAGTTTTTTTGTTGTTGGTACTGGAATTTGAACTCAGGGCTTCTCACTTCCTATGCAGGCATTCTACCACTTGAGCCACTTCACCAGCCCTTTTTTATGTTGGGTACTTCCGAGACAGGGTCTTGAGAACTATTTGCCTGGGCTGGCCTCGAACCACGATTCTCCTGATTTCTGCCTCCCAAGTGACTAGGATTACAAGCTTGAGTCACTGGCACCCAGTACTACTCAATAATTTTACAAAGGCACTATTGCTTCTGGAACTTTATGAAGATTTTTCACTTTCATATCCCCTCTTTTTCTAAATAGAAATGGAAACACATGTTCATGGTTTCCTTTCAGCAAAAAATGTTATTACTTTTGATGACAGGGTGGGCATGTGGCTAGGATTAGAGTAGAATGAGATAAACCAGGTGTTTATTTACAAGTGCCATTAACTGCAAAGCACTGCTAAGGGAGAGCACAACTCTGGAGAAAACCACCGACTGGCTTGTAATAAACCCCATGGAGAACAGCTTCATCTTGAAGGACATAATAAACCCCATGGAGAACAGCTTCATCTTGAAGGACACACCTTGGCAGCTCGGCTTTCTTCCTGCAGTGCTGTCACCTTCTGCTGGTACATGTTCAGTGTGCGCTGGTGCTGCTCTGCAGAGGTCTTCAGCTGCTCATGGATTTTGTGTTTCTCAGATGTTATTTCAGCCAGTTGAATCTGGGGGCAAAACTTTTCAGTTTAGCTCTAGATACCAGACCTTCACTGGCTAAAGAGATTTTTCTTAAAACCCAAACTTGAGGTTATGAGACCTAAGTATATATGTAAGTGGCAGAACTGAGTGGTGGAATATTTTTAGGTAAAATTATTATTAAAAAAGTACAGACAATATGAGTAGGACACTTGCTCACTATGAGATGCTTTTTTTTAAAGTAACATAAAAGAAAATTGATTGTAAAAAAATTCCAGATTACATATTTACTTGTTTTAACACCTCAAGACATTATATATATACAAAAATACATCAAATACATACAACTATTTTATAAACTGCCTCTTGTGACTATAATTTCACTCAGAGGATTTAGTTGAGGTTTTATTGTGTACTATTCTATAGCATATTATAGATCTTCAAATACATGAAAACAATTGAGCCTGAGCTAAAAGGTATACTCCAGTGATATGCTACACTTTGCTCCCACCTCCTCCAAATGTTGAGGAATTCTTATTATTTTTTTGCTTTAGTTACTTTTTGGATAGGGTCTTGTGTTTTTGCCAGGGACCAGCTTGGGACCACAATCCTTCTACTTACGGACTCCCACGTAGCTGGAATTATAGATGCATGCCACCATGCCTGGCTTATTTGTTGAGATGGAGGTCTTACCAACTTTTTGCCCAGGCTGGCCTTGAATTTCGATCTTTTAAAATAGACTTAGAGGGTAACTTCTTATAAGACAATTGGAAAAATTCCTTAGTTCTACATAGAAAAAACTTTTAAAAAAATCTTAAAAAGTATAAAGAACCTTACTTTATAGGCTTCTACTTGCTGCTGGCTTGCCTCCAGCTCACCCTTTAAAGATGCTTGTAGTATTAAGTGATCAGTTTCCTATAGAATGAGAATCTCGGTTAAATTAAAAAAAATGAAGTTGTTCATAAACTATGAATAAGTACAAAAATAGGAAACTGAGAAATTAACATACTGCTTGCTTTGAATCTGCCAGTTCCTTTTTGGTTTTCACAAGCAGCTGTTTGATTTTGGTGTTTTTTTCTTCATACTGCTGCACTGAAGACTGTAGTGAAGCTAGTACAAGAAGTAATTTCAACAGGAAGAGATGAGATAGTTTTTATGGGTGAATATAAATACACAAATGACATATCATTTCTTCCTATTAACTTACCTTTAAAATAAACCTGCTTTCTTTTTTTATTATGTAACATATTTGATATAGTGGCAAAAGTACAATAAACTCCATTGTACCCAGCCTGAACAATTACCAACACATAGCCAATCTTACTGCACCCAGACTAGGAGTCAGTGAAGGGCATCACAAAGGCTATTTTTACGAATTCAGTTTTAACAGAACACAATCAGGCTCATTCACTCACACTGGTCCATGGCAGCCACAATGGTGATCTGAGTAATCACAACAGAGACTATATGGCTCATAAAGCCAAAAAGATTTATTATCTGGCCCTTTACAGAAAATCTTTGTCAATATATATCACCTATGCTGAGCCCCAATCGATTATTTTAAAGTAAGTCCATTCATCTGTAGTATTTCAATATATACCTCTAACATAAAGATATGGCTGTATTTATGAAAGGCCTCTACTTTTAAAAAGTACCTCAAAAGGTGCTGTGTATTTGCAATTGTAGCATAAAAGCACAGTTAGAAGCACATACTTGGCTATTCCTTTTTGCAATAGTAACTCCGATGTAATAATTTTTTTGTGTGGGAACGATTATCAGTGAAAGAGAACTCATTAAGGAACAAATCAAAACATAATAAAATAAGGCCAAATATCCCTATTTGACCTCTGTCAAAAAACTTCTTTTTAACAGAGGTCAAATAGGGATAAATAGATTCATTGTGTAGAGTCCAGAGTCACCAGCAGCCAGCAGGCTAAATATGGCTGCAGCCTGTTGTGAAACAAACCAAGGATACATGACAGAGACTTTGTGGTCTCTGAGCCACAGAGGTCCACTATTTGGCCCTTCAATTAGTGTGTCTGACCCCTGATCTAGACCAGTTATGTGGAGACTGCAACTCTGCTGCTGAGAGATCTTATAAGCAATGATTAACTTTATGAAGTTAAATTCATACACATTATATTATTTGGTAAATAGGGACAGGAGTGTCTTAACTATGCATTTTATAGTAAGCCTAATTCAGTTAGTTCTTGGCAACTATTTGGACAGTTGTAAAGTTATTTCATAAAGCACAAATTAGATATAAAGCCTTGAAAAGTGTTCCAGAAGTTATGATAAGCAAGATATAATGAATTCCTGAGATCAAAGAACACAGAGTAAAATTAGGGTAACAATTCCCAATATAAAGTAATATTTAAATGTTAGAAAAGAAACACAAAAGGCTGGGTGTGGCTCAAGTGCACACTTCTTATGCAGCCATGAAGAAGAACGAAATGTTATCATTCGCTGGTAAATGGATGGAATTGGAGAACATCATTCTGAGTGAGGTTAGCCTGGCTCAAAAGACCAAAAATCGTATGTTCTCCCTCATATGTGGACATTAGATCAAGGGCAAACACAACAAGGGGATTGGACTATGAGCACATGATAAAAGCGAGAGCACACAAGGGAGGGGTGAGGATAGGTAAGACACCTAAAAAACTAGCTAGCATTTGTTGCCCTTAATGCAGAGAAACTAAAGCAGATACCTTAAAGCAACTGAGGCCAATAGGAAAAGGGGACCAGGAACTAGAGAAAAGGTTAGATCAAAAAGAATTAACCTAGAAGGTAACACCCACGCACAGGAAATCAATGTGAGTCAATGCCCTGTATAGCTATCCTTATCTCAACCAGCAAAACCCCTTGTTCCTTCCTATTATTGCTTATACTCTCTCTACAACAAAATTAGAGATAAGGGCAAAATAGTTTCTGCTGGGTATTGAGGGGGGGAGCGGGAGGGGGTGGAGTGGGTGGTAAGGGAGGGGGTGGGGGCAGGGGGGAGAAATGAACCAAGCCTTGTATGCACATATGAATAATAAAAGAAAAATGAAAAAAAAAAAATAAAAATAAAGTAATATTTAAATGTTAGAAAAGAAACACAAAAGGCTGGGTGTGGCTCAAGTGGTAGGGTGCCTGGCTAGCAAGTGTGAGGCTGAGATCAAACCCCAGTACTGCCAGAATATAAAAAGCTATATGGAGCTTTATGTCTATTGGTCATATATACTTTACAAGGAACAATGATGGAAATTTCACAGAACAGGAAACATTTAGGATTAAAAGGATTCAAAAGGTGAGTATAGGGGATGGAGGACAGGGGCACAAAAGGAAGAAACACAAGAGTTCATCTCCTGTATACACTTGTGGAAAGACATCACACCTCAAAAATAAATTTATAGCCCTGTTTACCTATGGGAGAGTTATGAAAAAGTCAACCACATGGAACACTGTTCTGAGATTTCCTTCTCTACCACAATTCCTTAGCCTTTAAAGGCCTTCACTGCCATGAGGCTGGTTATTTTCCAGATTCTACAACTTTCTAATTACTGAGACACCACACGGTAATCTTCTCCCATCTTTAAAAATGTATTCAGAACCTTTATGAACTGGATCAAAATATCTTTCTAGTTACACTTCATTTCTCCCAAACAAGGGAGAAGCCTTTCACTCCAATTAGTTAAGCCTTTCGCTCCAACTAGTCCAGACTTTTAAAATTACCTTACTTTTAGTTTTTGCTCATATCATGGCTACAGAAAGAACTGTCCTTTGCATATCTTTATCCCTCTCAACTTTACCTTAAAGACACAACTTAACCTCCAAGTTAGATTACTCCAGTCTATAAAAACCTCTCTTCTGAACTCAGCACTCACTGCTGGTACCACTAATTTATCACTTAGTGAGAAGTGAGAGATGTTCTGGAATAAGCATTTCTTTTCAGTTTTCCTAAGGAATTTAACCTACCTTTTGGCGTGACTGTCAAAAATAAATGGATTCACTAATTCACATACACAAAAAAATGTTTTCACTGTGGAAAAATAATCTTCAGCTTTGCTATACAATTTACACCAAGAACTTAATTGGAAGATGTGGTATACAGATAGGGAAATGTCTGGAAACTATACAATCTGTTACATTATCCAAATATTTAAAACTTTATCCCTGGATACAGGAGGAGTTCTGATTGGAACTCTGCACACTTAAGACTTTAATGCTTTGTTCACTCATGAAATTGCCTTTCTTGAGCTGTAATTTGGCCACTGGTTGATAATAAAGTGTGCATTACAAAACAGTCGTGAAAGATTTGCTACTTTATTAATTGTGAGACATTGCTGAGAATATCAGCCCAATTTATCAGGGCTCCTAAACCACCAGAAGCTTTTGAAAATGCAAATTCCAAATTGAGGCCCCACATTTTCAGGTTATGATTCATTATACCTATGACCAGTTTTTCTAAAAAGCCCTCCGGGTGCTGTGTGATGGAGAAATCAAGTCCGAGTCCCACATTACACAGTGCTCCCTTTATAAAAATGTCTGAAAAGTTCTCTCATGGATTTTAGTACCAGGAAAAGCTGTTTCTCAAAAACATCACACTTGCTCTATTACTGTGGATACTATAAACCCTGTAACTGATATTTCTGTCTTTGCTGATTTCTGGCAAGGTCAAAGCTAAATTTATAGGAGACCTCTGGCAAAAGCACACAGGATGTATACTTTATGTCTTGATGTCTTATCTGACTTTATTGCATAATTCTACCTCAATATTTCTTTTTATATTACTTCTTTCTCCTTGTTGTATCTTTATAGTTAGCTCAAATTATTTAATGGCAATTCTGCTTCTGACCATGAGGGAATAATAGGGTCTAGACTTACCTTCATAAACAAATAAGCAACTGAACATAATACATAAAACCTTTTCTTCCGACACTGGACAATAACCAGTGTAGGACTGTGATTCCTGAGAGACAATAAACAAACAAGATGAGCCCTTTTACTGTTCTGGCTTTCTGGATGGAAGTAATTTCTAGACTGTGGCACAGGGAGAAGAATCTGAAACAGAGCTGTTGTTTTTCCTAACATGCAAAGAACAACTGCCACAGAAAGAACAATGAATAAAGAATTGTAATCTGAACAATTTCTGGAGCTCACATAGTGCTGTACATCATTCGAATTCCCACCAGCCAAAGTAAAGAGATCTTTTTAAGTATGCAGGCATTCAGAACTCTGAAGAGCATCATCTTAGTAGTAAGGCTGAACTAGATCTATAGTAAAGGCTACTCTAGTGTTGTCCAAGAAGGGATGAAAACAAACAACAATTCATGAAAGGACAAAACTGATCTACAACTAGGTTGACTGTCAAAGCTGAACTTTTTAAATGAATACAAAAAAAAACCCTAGCATTCAACAAGAAGAACTCTGTATCTAATTAAAAATTATTTTTCCATACAAAGAAGAAGAATATGATGTATAACTAGGAGAAAAATAGCCATCAAGAGAAACAGATCCATACATTACAGAAATGATGCAATTAGCAATTGGTGTATCATAATAGCTATTAAATATGCTCAAGGATTTAAAGAAAATATGAACATAATGAAGAGATAAATGGAAAATTTAAAAGACCCAAATGGAACTTCTAGAAATGAAAAATGCAGTATCTAAAGTGAAAAATTCACTGGATGCGATTGGCATATCAGTTACCATAGACAGTGAATTTAAAAACACAGTAATAAAAACTATCAAAATTCAAAGACATGATAAAAATAGCACAAAGCACAAAAGGGGAGGGAGATAAAGTATACTATTACATTATTCTCATAGTATATATGAAGGGGTGTGACCTTAAAGGTAATCAATCAGGATAAATTCAAGATGTACACTAAAACACTAAATCAACTACTAAAAACTAATGAAGTATACCTAATACTCAAAGGAGACAGGAAAACAGGAAAAAGCAAAAGACAAGATAAACAGCAACCAGCAAGGTATAATTTTAAACCTAACTATATAAATGATTATGTTAAAAATAAATGATTTAAGCACTTCAATTAAACAGCAGAGACTCTTAGCTTGAAGAGAAAAAGCAAAACCTAAGTGTATGCTGCCTTAAAGAACATTTCCTAGAATTAGACAGGTTAAAAGCCAAATGTAAATAATAATCAAAAGAAAGCTGGAGTTGTTATTAAGTATCAACTAATATTAATATCAAAGAAGACTTCAGAAAAAGTTTTATAGTACCAGGGATAGAAAAGGGCATGTCACAGTAACAAGAGGGATCAAGTCATTAAGAGCACATAATAATTCTAACTATGCATGTAGCTAACACCAGACTTTCTAGACACATGAAACAAAGCATCCACAAAACTGAAGACTGAAAGTGACCCATAAAGGAGGTTTGAGATTTCCACATACCTGCTTCAGTAGTTGGTAGAAAAAGTACAAAGAAAATTGTTAAAGCTACAGAGGACTTAAACCTTCCTACTAGAAGACATAACTGACATGAGAGGAACATTCCAACAACAAATTGTAACACACTGTTTTCAAGTGCACAAAGAGCAGTCACCAAAAGAAAACATACACTGGGCCATAAAACAAAACTCCATAGATTTAAAAGAACTGAAGTCATAGACTATATACTCTAACTGCAAAGGATTTAAATTAGAAGTCATTAACAGAAAGATATCTGATAAATTCCTTTACATGTTTAGAAACCCATGGGTCAAAGAAGAAATCACAAAGGAAATGAAGAAATGTACTGAACTGAATTAAACTAAGAATAGCACATACTGATAGTGATATTCAGCTAATGGATAGCCTCCAGGGAAATTTATAGCTTTTAATGCTAACATTAGAAAATATTTTTTGGACAAAAGGAATAGAATCACCTTAAAAAGAAATGTTTCACTGCTATGTAAATTATCTCAATCTGCTGACAATCAGCAAATTGTGGACAATGACTAATTTTATCTTTGTATTGCTTATATAACAGGTACTTACATGTTCAAATGAAAGAGTGCATTAAGCACCAATGTGGACTATTAACATCTTAATGGCAAATGGTTTTATACCTTTTCTAGTCCTCAATGTTTGGCACTGTGTTAGAAACACCTGGCTATCAATAAGAGACTGGTGAATGAACAGCTAATGCAGCCCCCTCAACCTATTCTGATGAAATAATTAGAAGGTAAAGTGGATTTTGTTTTACTCACTCATTTCTTCTTGTAGGGTTTCTTGTTTTTGTTTTTGAATTTTTATTTCTTGCTCCAAATCTTCTATCTTGCTGTTTTTATTAGTTAACTTTTGATTTAGTTCTTTCATCAACCGTTCATAATCTGCTATTTCCATATTCATCAGTGTAGTTTGTTGGGCATCCTGCACATTTTATAAAGATTCACATATTATTAGGTCAGTGAATTTCACTGGTAAAGTTGCTAAAATGATGTTTCAGGAATAAACAAGGTTCTATTATGTTCTTCTATAACACAGAAGTAGTAAAATAGTAAATTTGACACATTCTACTTTTTAATTTCACAAAACAGTTCCTTTTCTAATAGTTCAACTCAACTTTCTTAGTTTCATTGTATTTGATAACTTTCATTAACCACATCTAGTAGTTCTAATCTTATTTATGAAATGTTAGTATTTTAAGCAGCTCTTAAGGCATATTTTTTTAGCCTAATCTTTGAAAAAGCAGAAAAGTATCAGTTAAAGTATAATATAAATTTTAAGCTTTGACATTACCTAAATCTTCATATGTCATACAACAATTATGTACAAAAAACGAACTATCAAGTCAAAGTTTTGATATGAGCCTAGATTCTTCTAAAAGAGGTACTTTAGAGAAGGAAGTTAAAATTTTAATTTATTAAGGTTAACAATTTAGTATCATAAATATTTTAAAATAGTCCTTTTTGATGCACAGAATAGCTTAATACTACGAATACTGCCATAAGTTTTGACGCTGGTCAAAACTTTTTTACTTATTTTACCTTTTTAACCAACTCTAATTCTTGCATAGTTTTCTGAAGGTGTTTCTTTTCCTTTTGAAATTGTAGCTGAAGTTCTTCAAGCTCATGTATGGTATTGGCATGTTCCTAAAATTAAAAATAAAAATCACCATCATGATACCAATTACGAACAACATTAAAAAAAGGTATGTTGGGGCTATAAAATAAATCTGACGCATGAAAATACACAGAGTTTTGGTAATATTACAATATTTAAAAAATATATACCCCAAAAGTCACAGCCTGGATTCTAAAATTTAGAGGAATAAATAAGGAATGAATGAACTCTGCTGTATTCATAAACGCTACTCCTTTAGTAAGTCTTTTCTTCATTTGAATAATATTTTGATAATATTATGTTGATAATATTTTTATGTGAATCAATCTCCCAGGATTATTTTTACCTTTATCTTCCGCTCCTTCTGAAGTTTTTCAGCTTCCAATTCTTTGTCTACCATTACCTTGGCTCTCTGGACTTCTAAAATCTGTACTTCTAATAACTTGGCATTAGACTGTAGTGTCTCAATACGAGCCAGGAGATCTTCATTGTCTGAACTGAATTTTTCACACTAGAATGAAAAATGATTCACTATTGTGAACATGCACAAAATACATGCAGGAGAAGAAATGTTTAATGAGAATACTATCATAGTGTGAAAAAAATGAAGATTTTTTTTACAATCAATTCCACAGAGTGACGTTAAAACTACCACTATTGATAGCAGTATGGCAAACTTTACAAAAAACCAGATAGATGCTCCCCAGTAGAACAAAAGGCAGAAATGAAAATGTAAAAGTAAAAACACAATCCTGAAACCCCTTGCTTATTAGGTTTAATAAGCAAGACCTGACAGCTGTTAGTGTTTCTGTCAACTTCTAATGAGGAGAAAAAAAAGAAAAAAAAAAACCTGTTTCTGACTATATTTTAATTTTCTTATGCCAAATATATTGAGATTAAACTATATTGAAATTTTCATATCTGAACTTACTCAATTTAAAATTACCTGGAAAACTGAATTTCTTAATTGCTTGGTAAGGTCTTCTATGTGATGCTCAAAATTATTAGCACGATCTTTTTCCACATCCAACTGCTCTGACTGCTTATCATATTCTAATAAAAGATTCTAATAGACAAAAAGACTTAAGATTAGGTTATGCATTCAAAAGGTCAGATTGTACAATTAAGTTACCTTGATGCCAGATTTATGAATCCATTTGAGATAAAATATTCAATATGAAAATGTAAATTTAAGTTCACACACGAAACTATTACAAAGTATTAGTATACTTTAATAGATAAAGTGGTCTTATGAATCCATTTAAAAAAAAAACTCCCTAATTTAAAATTTATATATGCACATCTTCCATGAGCCAGTTACATTAGGGCTTGTGTCTTTTTAAGGGACCCTGTAGCCTAATTTATTAATTTCTTACAGAGGTAGACCAAGTATATTAATTTTATAAGTTTAACCTATCAATCTTTTCCTTTGTAATTTTTAAATTGCAAAAAAAATCTTAAGTTCAGAAAAAATCTTTTGTATGCAGAAGCCAGTAAGGGAAGAAGAATTTTATTCTAGATTAAAAAAAAAAAGTTTCTTCCAAAATTCTTTAATCCATACGGCATTTATTTTGGCGTATGCAGTGAAATAAAAATCTGACAACATTTTTCTCATATAATTTTTTAATTCTGTCCTCCTTCATTGATTTGTGTTTTCAAATTCTCCTGGATAGTATAGCTTGGTTGGTAAAAGAACAGGCGTCGTATACTTGGTAAAATCCTGGCTCTGTTAATGTCACTTGTTCTGTAATCTTGGGTGTCTATGCCTTGAATTCCTCACTTGTAAATTTTTGATGCCCATAATGCTTTCTGGTTGTTTGAGAATTATATGTATGAAGACACGTAAAGTACTTAGAAAACAGTCTGGCATAAGAGCTGCCTTTAAGTAGAAGTCTTTACTTTTTCTGTCATATGTAATTGTCGGTTTGTTGTATAATTCTTCCATGTTACTGTAGCTCTGTAATAAATTTTAGTGGTAGGGCAAGATGTTACTTTGCCATTTTCATTTCTAAAAATTTAGCTATTCTTGCTAGATTATTTTCTATTTAAAACTTAGAATAATTGTCAAGATCCCACCAAAAGAATTTATAAATTAATCTGAGAACTAATATTTCAAGTAATATTTAGTTATCATATGCAGTGCCCAAACTGCTTATTAAAGTTCTTACCAAAATTTTACCTTTCGATTACTATGAGATTTCTTTTTTATCAAGTCCCATTTTGTTTACTGCTCCATCTCTTCTCCCTACTCACCCTACTTTGGTTTGTAGTGTCTATCTTGTCCTTTTCAGTGTTTGCCTGTTAATGCCACTGTAATTTAAGTCCTAAGAAGATAGGAACTTGAATTCCAAGATGGCAGCTAGAGGTAGGAAGCAGAAAGCGAGCCTCCTACAGTGAAATCTTGGAGAGACGCTGGAGACACACTTTGCAGGCATAATCACCGAGAAAAGGCATAACTTTGACTCCTCCACATCTCCAGCCGGCGCAGAGAATCTCCACCTCACGTTAAATGGAGAAACGAGGAGGGCCCCCGGGGCCGCCAGTGGCCGGCGCCCATACGGCTTGGGAAGACGTGGACCAGGTGAGCTTCGCGGTACCGCGGTAGCCCCACAGACAAGCCTGGGCCAGAGCAGCATAGCCGCCTGGACAGACTGACCTCCACCCAGGAAAAAAAGAGAAACTGAGTACTAAGCAATAAGAACAGTTAAGACACACTGGAAAGAGGGTGGGGCGCCCTGAGCGCTGAAGATTGGGGGGAAGGGAATCCTTCCCGGGACTGTAAATAAACAAGCTGGGCGGGCCGGAAAGGCTCTGGCGGGAGCGGGGCGCGCCCAGCAACCAGGAGCAGGGAAAGCTTGTGAGAGGAGGGAAGACCCACCTCCCACGTGAACTGTAAATAAACACGCAGGCCTGACAACGCAAGGGCAGTGTCACCTTTCCCAGTGCTTGGAAAGGGGAAAGCCTGTAGCAGAGGCTCCCGCACAGGAGAACTCTGAGCAAACAAAGCCTGTGGGACCAGGTGAGTGCTAAGCTCACCCCAGAGATCTGCATAAATAACGCCGCCAGCTACAGGCTGAGAGCAGCAGGCAGGCAAGCCACAGTTGCAGATACCACTCTCAGAACTGCCTCCAGACGCTTTTTTTTCTTTTTCTCCCTACCTTTGATGAGAGAACAACCGAATTACACCTGCAAGCCGAAAAACTTACTGAAACTGTATTGCATTTGAACTGGGGACACTTGGTGGGGCTTTTTTTTTTTTTTTTCTTCTGTGTGTGTGAGTGTAGTTTTGTTCTACTTTATGCATCCCCTTTGATGAGACAACTACAGAACAACATCTGAGGCACCAACTCCAGGACTGGAGATTGAGACGGACATCCAAATTATTAAGACTGAAATTGCATTGCATATAAACTTGGAAGTTTTTTGGTTTTTTTTTTTTTAATTTTCTATTTTCCATTTTATTTTAATTCATTTTTATATAGAGATATTACTTTCATATACTTATTTTTTATTTTTTTATCTTTGATTTTCAATCCTCTGTCTACTGTCTGTTCAGCTTACTGTCGATTAGTACACTAACACTCCCTGTTTATACCTTTGAAACTCTCTTGTCTGATACCTTGTTCTGCTTTCTCCCTCTTGTCTGTATATTTGTTTTCCCCTTTTCTTTAACTTCTTGCTTTCCATCTCAGCTCACTCTTCCATTCTCAATATTACCATTGTTATTATTACAAGCTAGAAAATACTTAATTACACACAGTACAGGGACAGTAACAACACCAAGGACAATGACAGGAAGACAGAAAAAACAGGGAAACCAGTTTCCCCACAGCAAAAAATTAGTACAGGAACCAGAGGGGAATGAAGAGAACAGAAACTCAGATCCAGACTCCAACAAAATGAAGATAAACTATGCCAAAGGACCCAATGAAGCCCACAAGAATAATTTAAAAGAAGACATACTACAAGTACTCAATGAGAATTTTATAGAGATGATACTGGATAGGGTCAACCAAAATGTACAGGAGACACTCAAGAAATTCCAAGACAATAAAAATAGAGAATTTGAAAAAGCAAAAGAAGAAATAAAGGAAACCATAGAAGCACTGTATAAACACCAAAGTGAAAGAGAGAACACAATGAATAAATGGATAAATGAACTCAGGACAAAAATAGACAACAATAAAGAAGAAAACAGCCAGGATATGGAAAACCTCAGAAAAAAGAACGAAACAGAACTGCAAAACAAAACGGAAGGCCAATCCAGCAGAATAGAACAAACAGAAGACAGAATCTCAGAACTTGAAGATGAAATGGTAATTAAAGGAAAAACGAAGAACTATTAATTAAACAACTCAAGACCTGTGAAAAGAAAATGCAAGAACTCACTGACTCCATCAAAAGACCAAACTTGAGAATCATGGGCATCGAAGAAGGAGAAGAGGTGCAAGCGAAGGGAATGCGTAATATATTCAACAAAATAACGGAAAATTTCCCAAATCTAGAGAAAGATATTCCCATACAGATGCAAGAGGCCTCCAGGACACCAAACAGACCAGATCAAAATAGAACTACTCCACGACATATCATCATTAAAACAACAAGTTCAGAAACTAAGGAAAGAATATTGAAGGCTGTAAGAGAGAAAAAACAAGTAACATACAAAGGTAAACCCATCAAAATCACAGCAGACTTCTCAACAGAAACATTAAAAGCAAGAAGAGCGTGGGGTGAGATCTTCCGGGCACTGAATGAAAATAACTTCAACCCCAGGATACTCTACCCAGCAAAGCTATCATTCAAAATAGATGGAGCAATAAAAGTCTTCCATGATAAGCAGAAACTAAAACAATATGTGACCACAAAGCCACCATTACAAAAGATTCTGCAAGGGATCTGCACACAGAAAGTGACACCCAACTTAACCATGAAAAGGCAGGCAGCACCAAACCACAGGATAAGAAAAAGCAAGACAGTAGAGAGTAACATCAAGTTAGGTACACACAATCAAACCTTCAAACAACTAAGATAACTAAATGGCAGGAATCACCACATACCTATCAGTACTAACACTTAATGTTAATGGACTTAATTCACCCATCAAAAGACACCGTTTGACAAAATGGATTAAAAAAGAAGATCCAACAATTTGTTGCTTACAGGAGACTCATCTCACCGACAGAAATAAGCATATGCTTAGGATGAAAGGCTGGAAGAAGATTTACCAAGCCAATGGCCCCCGAAAACAAGCAGGAGTAGCAATACTTATCTCTGACAAAGTAGACTTCAAACCTACATTGATCAAACGAGATAAAGAAGGACATTCCATACTAATAAAAGGGGAAATAGACCAAAAGGAAATAATAATCATCAATCTGTATGCACCCAATGTCAACGCACCCAATTTCATCAAACATACCCTGAAAGACCTAAAAGCATATATAAACGCCAACACAGTGGTTGTGGGAGACTTTAACACTCCATTATCATCAATAGATAGGTCATCCAAACAAAAACTCAATAAAGAAATCCAAGATCTAAAATATGCAATAGATCAAGTGGACCTAGTAGATGTCTACAGAACATTTCATCCAACCTCTACACAATATACATTCTTCTCAGCAGCCCATGGAACCTTCTCCAAAATAGATCATATCCTAGGGCACAAAGCAAGCCTCAGCAAATATAAGAAAATAGAAATAATACCATGCATACTATCTGACCACAATGCAGTAAAAGTAGAACTCAACAACAAAAGTAAAGACAAAAAACATGCAAACAGCTGGAAACTAAATAACTCATTACTTAATGAAGAATGGATCATCGATGCAATAAAAGAGGAAATTAAAAAGTTCCTGGAAGTCAATGAAAATGAAAACACAACCTACCGGAACCTATGGGACACAGCTAAGGCAGTCTGAGAGGAAAGTTTATAGCCATGAGTGCATATATTAAAAAGATTGAAAGATCCCAAATCAATGACCTAATGATACATCTCAAACTCCTAGAAAAACAAGAACAAGCAAATCCCAAAACAAATAGGAGAGAAATAATAAAAATAAGAGCTGAAATCAACGAAATAGAAACCAAAAAAACCATACAAAGAATTAATGAAACAAAAAGTTGGTTCTTTGAAAAAATAAACAAGATCGATAGACCCCTGGCAAACCTGACTAAAATGAGGAGAGAAAAAACCCAAATTAGTAGAATCAGGAATGCAAAAGGGGAGATAACAACAAACACCATGGAAGTCCAGGAAATCATCAGAGACTACTTTGAGAACCTATATTCAAATAAATTTGAAAATCTAAAAGAAATGGACAGATTTCTAGATACATATGATCATCCAAAACTGAACCAAGAGGAAATTAATCACCTGAATAGACCTATAACACAAAATGAAATTGAAGCAGCAATCAAGAGTCTCCCCAAAAAGAAAAGTCCAGGACCTGATGGATTCTCTGCTGAATTCTATCAGACCTTTAAAGAAGAACTGATACCAACCCTCCTTAAACTGTTCCATGAAATAGAAAGGGAAGGAAAACTGCCAAACACATTTTATGAAGCCAGTATTACACTTATCCCAAAACCAGGCAAAGACACCTCCAAAAAGGAGAACTATAGGCCAATCTCCTTAATGAACATTGATGCAAAAATCCTCAACAAAATAATGGCAAACCGAATTCAGCAACACATCAAAAAGATTATTCACCACGACCAGTAGGCTTCATCCCAGGGATGCAGGGGTGGTTCAACATACGAAAATCAATAAACGTAATAAACCACATTAACAGAAGCAAAGACAAAAACCACTTGATCATCTCAATAGATGCAGAAAAAGCCTTTGATAAGATCCAACATCATTTCATGATAAAAGCTCTAAGAAAACTAGGAATAGAAGGAAAGTTCCTCAACATTATAAAAGCTATATATGACAAACCTACAGCCAGCATTATACTTAACGGAGAAAAATTAAAACCATTCCCTCTAAAATCAGGAACCAGACAAGGATGCCCACTATCTCCACTCCTATTCAACATAGTACTGGAATTCCTAGCCAGAGCAATTAGGCAAGAAGAAGGAATAAAAGGAATACAAATAGGTAAAGAAACTGTCAAAATATCCCTATTTGCAGACGACATGATCCTATACCTTAAAGACCCAAAAAACTCTACTCAGAAGCTTCTAGACATCATCAATAGCTATAGCAAGGTAGCAGGATATAAAATCAACATAGAAAAATCATTAGCATTTCTATACACTAACAATGAGCAAACGGAAAAAGAATGTATGAAAACAATTCCATTTACAATAGCCTCAAAAAAATCAAATACCTAGGTGTAAACCTAACAAAAGATGTGAAAGACCTCTACAAGGAAAACTATACACTTCTGAAGAAAGAGATTGAGGAAGACTATAGAAAGTGGAGAGATCTCCCATGCTCATGGATTGGTAGAATCAACATAGTAAAAATGTCGATACTCCCAAAGTAATCTACATGTTTAATGCAATTCCCATCAAAATTCCAATGACATTCATTAAAGAGATTGAAAAATCTACTGTTAAATTTATATGGAAACACAAGAGGCCACGAATAGCCAAGGCAATACTCAGTCAAAAGAACAATGCAGGAGGTATCACAATACCTGACTTCAAACTATATTACAAAGCAATAACAATAAAAACAGCATGGTACTGGCACAAAAACAGACATGAAGACCAGTGGAACAGAATAGAGGATCCAGATATGAAGCCACACAACTATAAGCAACTTATCTTTGACAAAGGAGCTAAAAATATACGATGGAGAAATAGCAGCCTCTTCAACAAAAACTGCTGGGAAAACTGGTTAGCAGTCTGCAAAAAACTGAAACTAGATCCATGTATATCACCCTATACCAAGATTAACTCAAAATGGATCAAGGATCTTAATATCAGACCCCAAACTCTTAAGTTGATACAAGAAAGAGTAGGAAATACTCTGGAGTTAGTAGGTATAGGTAAGAACTTTCTCAATGAAACCCCAGCAGCACAGCAACTAAGAGATAGCATAGATAAATGGGACCTCATAAAACTAAAAAGCTTCTGTTCATCAAAAGAAATGGTCTCTAAACTGAAGAGAACACCCACAGAGTGGGAGAAAATATTTGCCAATATACATCAGACAAAGGACTGATAACCAGAATATACAGGGAACTTAAAAAACTAAATTCTCCCAAAACTAATGAACCAATAAAGAAATGGGCATGTGAACTAAACAGAACTTTCTCAAAAGAAGAAATTCAAATGGCCAGAAACACATGAAAAAATGCTCACCATCTCTAGCAATAAAGGAAATGCAAATTAAAACCACACTAAGATTCCACCTCACCCCTGTTAGAATAGCCATCATCAGCAACACCACCAACAACAGGTGTTGGCGAGGATGCGGGGAAAAAGGAACCCTCTTACACTGTTGGTGGGAATGTAGACTAGTACAACCACTCTGGAAAAAAATTTGGAGGCTACTTAAAAAGCTGGACATCGATCTACCATTTGATCCAGCAATACCACTCTTGGGGATATACCCAAAAGACTGTTACTCCAGAGGCACCTGCACATCCATGTTTATTGCGGCACTATTCACAATAGCCAAGTTATGGAAACAGCCAAGATGCCACAGCACTGACGAATGGATTAAGAAAATGTGGTATCTATACACAATGGAATTTTATGCAGCCATGAAGAAGAACGAAATGTTATCATTCGCTGGTAAATGGATGGAATTGGAGAACATCATTCTGAGTGAGGTTAGCCTGGCCCAAAAGAGCAAAAATCGTATGTTCTCCCTCATATGTGGACATTAGATCAAGGGCAAACACAACAAGGGGATTGGACTATGAGCACATGATAAAAGCGAGAGCACACAAGGGAGGGGTGAGGATAGGTAAGACACCTAAAAAACTAGCTAGCATTTGTTGCCCTTAATGCAGAGAAACTAAAGCAGATACCTTAAAGCAACTGAGGCCAATAGGAAAAGGGGACCAGGAACTAGAGAAAAGGTTAGATCAAAAAGAATTAACCTAGAAGGTAACACCCACGCACAGGAAATCAATGTGAGTCAATGCCCTGTATAGCTATCCTTATCTCAACCAGCAAAACCCCTTGTTCCTTCCTATTATTGCTTATACTCTCTCTACAACAAAATTAGAGATAAGGGCAAAATAGTTTCTGCTGGGTATTGAGGGGGGGAGCGGGAGCGGGTGGAGTGGGTGGTAAGGGAGGGGGTGGGGGCAGGGGGGAGAAATGAACCAAGCCTTGTATGTACATATGAATAATAAAAGAAAAATGAAAAAAAAAAAAAAAACAAATGCGAAAGGTAAACAGAAACAGAAACAGCTCACTTTTTATCCAACTCTGATGTTTTGCCTCCAAAAGCTTGGCATCATTTACAGGAGAAATGAATAGATTTTACTACCTTCCTTTTTTTTATTATTCATATGTGCATACAATGCTTGGGCATTTCTCCCCCCTGCCCCCACCATCTCCCCCCAAAAAAAAAAAAAACATAGAAAAAAAAAAATAGAAGATAGGAACTTAAGACTATGTGGTTGGTGGTAGTCTGTTTGGCTGACCACCATTTGCCCCAGAACTCATAATTTACTCCAGTTGTGTAAAAATATGCTGAATAAATAAATACGTGGAGAAATGCAATGACATTTATCTTGCTTTTGGTGATTCTGTTGGGCTTTATTTTTAAATTTTTAGAATAAGAGACTTAAGTACTGGGCACTGGTGGCTCACACCTGTAATCCTAGCAACTCAGGAGGCAGAGATTATGAGGACTGTGGTTCGAGGCCAGCCCGGGCAAATAGTTTGTGAAACCCTATCTTGAAAACACCCATCACGAGAAAAAAAAAAGGGTTGGTGTGTGGCTCAGGGTATAGGCCCTGAGCTCAAGCCCCAGTACTGCGAAAAAAAGAAAAAAAAGTATTAAGTTACTAAAGTAGACAAGCACATGACATCCAGACAACAATGCTTCCACCTGCCTGTTAAACCTCTTTTACGCTTCAGATGTATTCACTCAGCCAGAAAAGTATTAAATAGTAACATTAATCATAGCCAATTTTTTTTGTTCCTGATTTTTATTAGGAAATCCTAAAATAGATTTTTACTTTGAAAAAGCAGTATTTTAAAGGCACTATTTAAAGGCTAACCACTTTAAAATCTTGGTATTAGGACTTGACTATATTGTACCAAAAATCAGGGACAAAGAGATTTGCTAACAAAAACAAGGTGTAAAAAGTTACATTGGGGCAAGGATATATATAAATATAATGAAAATCACATGTGAATACATAATGAAAATCTAAAATTCCCTTTGAAGTTTGTAATAAAAAATCTAAAACTAGGGCTGGGATGTAGGTCGGTGGTACAGCGCTTGCCTAGCATGCGCGAGGCCCTGGGTTTGATCCCAGCACCAAAAAAGAAAAGACAAAAAAAAAAAAAATCTAAAACTAAAAACAAAAACAAGGTGACTGTTTTATGAATTGTTGTATTTATTAGTTATGAACATAACATTATTAAAGTAACCTTTACCTTATAGCTTTCTGCTCCATGAATGAGATCTCTCATAGAAGCAGACAGCTGATCCTTTTCTGACCGAACACATTCAAGTTCTTCCCTTAGTGTCTGGGCCTATTTTAAAAATGAGTAAAGTTAAGAGGTTTTCATGGATAGAAAAAGTCTTGACTTTCCAAAACATAAGATTCCTGATTCATGAGTTTTTAAGTCAGCTTACCTCTTTTCTACTGGAATCTAGTTCTTTCTTTGCTTTCACAGCAACTAGTTTTATCTTACTTATTTTCTCCTCCTTCTCTTTGGACTCTTTTTCCAGATTTCCTAAAAACAGAAAATGACAGAATTGCATATGATATCAAAGGGAAAAATATTCAAATTACTTATTTTAAACCTAAAAACTGAGTTTTTATTCTGGAGCACAAAATTTGCAGCTTGAAATTAAGTAACAAAAACATTAAGAGCTTCTTTCTTAAGTAAAAGTTTAACTATTCATTACCTAAGTGAGACAAATAATGTTCTTCAATTCTCTAAAACAGTCCACTTAAAAAATATCATTTCATAAATGTCTAAGAACTGGAGAAGTGGTAATACTTTTTTTTTTTAATGCTGGTTCTCCTGGAAACTGAAGGTATGTTAGGATTGTAGGACCAAGGAGAAATGCCATTAGGACTTTACTTCTTAATACTTTTTTTTTTTTTTTTTTTTGAGGAACTAGGGATTGAACCCAGGGCCTCATGCATGCTAGGCAGTGCCCTACCATTTACACCAACCCCCAAATCCTTAGTATCTTGAGTTATGATGTGAATTTCTGTCCTTGCTATTAGTGTGTGTGTGCACCGTTTTCCCTCTGCTGCCAAAGTGAACTGGCCATGGGTGTAGCAAAGGCCAACTGTCCAACTTCTTGGACTTCCTCGCATGCCTTCCCATCTACTTAAGCACCAGAGTAGCAATTTCCTCCTCTTTAGTAGATTTTTTCCTCAACAGTTTATAAACATGCAACAAGAAAAATAGCATCAAGAAAGTAAAGTCAGGAACAAATAGTGGAAGCAGTTATACTGGGAAGGGGAGAGATTGCAATAGGATAGGCAGAACACCTCAAACATACTCTCAGTTTTCCTATAAAAAATAAATCACATCGCCCTTCTCTTAGACCAACATCTTTCAAAGAGTTGCCTGTACATGCTCTCAAATTTCTCTTCCCCCATTTTTTTCTAGAACCCACTACAAATTCAGGTGTGGCTCTAGTGCACCAGGGAAACTGTGCTCTATGATGCCGAACTTAACGGATAGCTCTCCATACTCATTTTACTTGACCCATCAGCACTTGCCCTGGCTAAACATTGCTCAACTTCTTACACTTGCACTTCATTTGTCTTAACTTTCAATACAGTTTATGTTCCAGGTTTTTGTATCTTGTTGGTTGCTCTTTATCTCCTTTGTTGTTTCCATCAATTAAAGATGGGGAACTGTCTCAGGCCCTCATTTTTTTCTATACTGCCTTGATTTCCACCTGATAGTTTTAGTGCCCACATTAACTACATTTTTACCTGTAGCCTAGTTATCTCCTGAATTCCAGATTTATTCAGCATTCTTTTTGACATCTCCACTTGAATTGGTATTTAGAATTAGTCTAAATTGAAGAACTATGGGTACACTGCATACTTCTAAGTTCATTTCTTCATCTTTAAAGGGCAATAAAAGAGCTACCCCATAGTTACTACAAGGAATAAACATTTAAGTATAGTCTCAATTTTCTGCCTATCACACTAGTATGTTTATGATCTGCTGCCTCTTCAGGAACTTCCTTGTATGTACCTTGATGTTACAAATGCTAGTAAGAGGCATCCATTGTTCTTTCTTGCTTTAATATTTGTCTTCTTGTGTACTATTTCTCACTATCAAGACCCAACTGAAGATCCTGTTCTGTGATGTTTTTCTTTATTCAAAACAGGCAACTTCCTATGCTATTAGCACAGTACCTTGTTCATACCTCAAACTATTGCACTTATAGCCCCTCTTAGCAATGAGCTTCTATACCTTTCTTGTCTATTACCAGTGTCTAGAACAGTTGGGCACTCAAATAATGTCTGCTAAACAAATGAAAATCCAAAATAATCATGGAGTAATTTATAAATGGAATCACACCAGTGTTTTTATTGAATTAATTGAGAGAAAGTAACTCTTGAAAGCAAAGGCCAACAGATGACAGAAGGGCAGTGGGGTCAGAGGAAAAGCTATTTACTGTGTCTTTAACAATTCACTAATTGATTACTATAGTCCTCAATCTATTCTAACACTAACAAGAATTTGTCTGATTAATGGTGACGACACATGCAAAACCATAGTTACCTAGCTTTTCTTCCAGCTCTTTTACTAAAGAGAGTTGATCATTTTCTACAGCAGGTGATTGCTCTAAGGAATCCTAGATTTTACAGGAGGAAACAAAACAAAAACAAATATTTCATTCCCAAGAATGAACTGGCCACCATTTAAAGCATGAGACCAATCATTACCAAATCATAAAAATCATATAAAAAGCAGTTTATCTTTTACTTCTGTTGACAGACAAGATAATACTAATCTTATCATGCATATGGCATTTATTATAAAAAAAAACCAAATACAATCATACCAAAGGGCAAGATGAAAAACTTGACATATATCAAATACAGGTGTTATATAAAATGATTAAATGATTATAGTTTCATAATTTTAAAGAACACCTTAGAATTGTAGCCAAAGTAAAATGCCACTAAAGCCCATTTTCTTGCTCAAGTGTATTTTAATAAAGGTACTGTGAGGCTGGGTACAGTGGTTCATGCTTATAATCTCCCAACTACTTGGGAGGCAGAGACTGGCAAGACTGTGATTTGAGGTCAGCCCAGACAAAAAGTCAAGTCAGACTCCCGTCTCAACAAATAATCCAGGCATAGTAGTACATGTCTGCAATTTCAGCTATGCATGAGGCATAGGTAGAAGGAATTTCAGTCTGAGGCTGCTCCTGGGCAAAAAAGCAAGACTCTATTCAAAAAATAACTTAAGCAAAAACAGGGTGTGTGTGTGTATGGGGTGTGGCTTAAGTGGCAGAATTTGTCTAGTAAGTACAAAGTCCTGATTTCAAACCCCAGTACTGATAGAAAAAAAAAAAAAGATACAGAAGAATGAAACTCAAATTTTTCATTATAGTTTTTTTTACAGCTAATGATTAAACACCTTTTTTTCTTTGTTGTTATGACTTTTTTTTTTGTGTTCTGGGGTTTGAACTCAGGGCCACATGCTTCCTAGGCAGAAACTCTACCACTTGAGCCATTCTGCCAGCCCCGATTAAGTATTTTTGACCAAGACATTTAAGCCTCTAGTCATTTAATCTTAAAGATTTTAAAATAAACGATCTATACCTCCCAAAATAATGAATGTAGTAAACAGGATATATACATGGAAATGTTTATCATGTACTTTTCAGAAATTTGCCACTTAAGCTTAATGCTAAAAATTTATTTTTGATTTCAAAGTGTAAAAATGTTATAGTACCTTTAATAATATCAACTCTGCTCTCACACCTTGTAGTTCAGATTCTTTTTGTTCTAGTAATAGCCTTAGCTTTTCACATTCTGTTAAAAAAGATTTTTCATCAGGTATTTCACTTTTGCTATGTAATGTTTGAGATATTTCTTCAACTTGAATTAAAAGATTCTGATTTTCAAGTCTTGTTTTTTCATTAGCATTCTTCATTTCTAGATCAAGTTGCAGGGCCTCTTTTTCTGACAGGGTTTCTTCTAACTTTTTCCTTAAGAGAACTTTCTCTTGTTCATGATCTCTTAGTAAAGATCTAAGTTCTTCACACTGAATTACATTCTCTTCTTGTAGGCACTTAATCTTTTTTTCCAACTGTAATACCCTTTCATCATATTGAGAAACCAAGTTCTGTTTTTCTTCATTCCTTTTTGTTAAAGTTTCACCTACAACTTGTAGGATATTTCCAACATCATCTTCATTTTCTTCTGAAATCAATGACCCCATCTGTTGAAGAAACCTATATAACTGAGACTTGACAAATGACTTCTGAACTTGCTCACTTTCAAACAGCTTATTTAAATTATCTCGCTCTTCAACCATTAACTGAAGTGTCTTTTCCAATTCAGTAATATGTTCTTTAAGCACAGACTCGCTTTCATTTTGAGAAAGAGCTTCCAAATCCCTACTCAACTGGTTCTTTTCAGAATTTAGTCTACTATTTTCCTCATAAAGAGATTTTATTTTAGATGACAATGCTTCCTGGTCTTCAGAGACAGCTTTCATATGAACTGTAAGTTTCTCTAATTTCTGGTCATTTTGGCCCTTTTCTTTTAAAGTCTCATCTAGCCTTACTGTTAACTCATTTATCCTTTGTTCTAGTTCACTGTTGTACTGGGCAGTTTGCTCCACTTTCTTCCTAAGTTCCATAGCCAAACTTTGTTCTCTTTCACATTTTTTATACAGATTATCTATCTCTTCACGGGAATGTTTAATTTTACTTATGAAATCATCTTTTTCTTCATGAAGAGAATTTATCTTTGCTTCTAATTCTTGTAAGATGGTATCTCTTTGACTGAGACTAGTCAAGTATACTTCGTTCTTTTCTTGAAGGCTCTTTACGGTATTTTTGAGTTCTGGTACTAATTCTTGTTGAGATAATAACTTTTCATTTTCTCTCTGGAGATGATTCACAGTTTCAAGAAGAGCATCTTTTTCATTAAAAGCAGTTCTCAGCTTCTGCTGAAGCTCATGAACATCAGATGCTTGCTGCTGCTTCATTGTTTCAAACTCTTGACTTATTTTTCCAGCAGATTCTCCCAGTTCTGTTTGTAAAATTTCCATAATCTCTCGCAAACTCTCATAATTTAAGATTGCTTCTTGCTTTTCTTGTTGTAGGTTTTCACACTGTTCCTTAAGTCCCTGTATTTCAAACATTAATGTTAATTTTTCTTTTTCTGAACCAGACAAAAATGTTTCACTAAGTTCTGATATTTCTTTTTGATGGTGTTCCTTAAGACTCTGTACTTCTTTGTTATGTTGTTCTACAGCACAACAAAGCTGTTTATTTAAATCTTCTAATTCGTATTTTAATTTTTCTATTACACAGCTTTGCTCTTCTTTAGCTAATAACAGTTCATTAATTTTAAACTCCAAGTCTTCTCGCTCATGAAAAAACTCATCCTTTATATGTTGTGCATCCATTTCAAGTTTCAATTTAAGATTATTCATATAGGTCACCTCATCTTTTAAAATACTATGCTGAGATTCTAGTTCTTTTAAGGAATCTTCTAAGTGTTTGACTTTTTCATTTGCTACTTGTTCTACAAAAGCATCTTCTTTTAAGACCATAGAACAAATCTGATTTTCTTGGTTTGCATTTGAAATGTCTTTCCTTAAGTTTTCTAATTCATATTCATATTTCTCCTGAATGTTCTTACTTGCCTCACATTGTTTCACTAGGTTTTCTTTTAGCTGGTTTAGCTTATTTATCTCTGATTCATGCTCTTTAGCTGATGCTTCAAGTTGACACATCAATTCTTTCACTTCTTCTTGATGGGTAGCTTTCAATTGTAAAAGTTCATCTTGCAAGACACTAATATCTTCTTGGTAATGGTGAGAGTTTGCCTCAATGACTTTGTGGAGATGAGTAATCTCTTGCATCTTTTCATCAGTGGCAACTTCCAACTGCTTTTGGAGACATGCAATTTGATCCTCAAAGGCTGGCCTAAGTTTCTGAATCTCTTCTTGTAGTTTTTTAACATTCTCTTCAGAGTAACTCTGAAATTTAAGCTGTTCTGAAAGCTCTAACTGTTTATTCATTGCCTCTTCCAGTTCTTTTTGTAAGCTAGCTCTATCTTCACTATGTTTGGCATGTAATGTCATCAATTCATTTTTCAAATTTTCAATTTCTTTCACATAGTTTTTTTGTGATTGTTCAAACTGTCTGTGCACACCTTCCATCTTAGTTACAGAATCCTGTTACAAAAAGAGGCACAAATAAATTATTTAAGTAAGACAAAAGAAACCTCTGATCTCAAGAAAGATCAGAGAAAAGGAAATGGACAGAAATGCACCTAGAGAAATATGATACTGATATTGTGAGAATTTTGTTTAGGTTTTTTCCTACCTTAAGTAGAAATACAATATTAAGCCTGTTAAAGTTATAACTAACTAGAAAATTTCTGCATTTGATTTTCTCTATAAGGCAATAAATTATATAACTTATACATAATTATTATAGAATGATATAATATAAATTATAAAGGATCAACTTGTAACTCCTGAATAGATTAACAGACGTTCTGAAGAAAATTATCCCAGACCTAATAGATAAGAAAGAACTTAACTAACTTACCTTTTTGAAGAATATTACAGCTATAAGGAAGATTAATATGTAATAAGTTTAATGTTA